ATCGCATGAAGTGTGAGTTCTTAGATTAGCCTGATGAAAAGAAGCATAACTAAAGAAATAGAGAGCAAATGAATTCTCGCGAATTGATAAAAATTTCCAGTAGAAAGGGAAGGGATTATTGCCACTTTCAAACTGGCAAATTATTTGTTAGAGCATATTCATAAGTACTTTGCGTTGCCTGCAAAGCCTAAAACATTAATAAATAAAAGATAAAATTTTTTTGATGGACGATTTTTGAAGGTGAAAAACTCCATGCCCTAATATCCCAATAAATTAATTAAATTCCCATATCAATGATAAACTGACAAATTTGTTATTATTGCATTTTGAAATGCGGAAAAGTGACACTTTTTAAGTTGCAAATAATGCTTTTATCTGTGCGCTGATAAAACATCAAGTGAATAGAAGTGCACAAAATTACCAAGCAAAGTCGCAACAATTTTGAATGCGCGGTGTATGTAATGTCATATGTGAGTCAAGGTAATAGATTGAAGCGATATGATTAAAGAAGTTGAAAGATATCAAAAGTTGATAATTTGTGGGTTACTTTTTAGTTGCGTACTTATTGAATATTTTACCCTTGCATGCATGTTGCGAAGTTGCAAATGTGGCACTTTTGCGTCTGCAGATTATCCCTTCTCTTTCCCCCTTGTTTGTGCTCTCCACCATTGTGAAGTAAACAATTCATATCCTCACATCAGTTTAAATGCTTTGAGTAGGCAGACGATATTTCACTGTTCTAATCTTCATTCGTTTTGACGTGGAATAGCTAGTAGCCTAAAATTGCTTTCGTCGAATTATGTTTTGGCATTAATCCTCGTTATTCTAATACTATCCATAGTAATCATTCTAAAAGCTATGAAGTTAGAGGAGTACAGGTCTAATTTATATGCAGCTATTGCCTTTACTCAGGTGGATTTTGTTACAGAGGAAATGTTCTCATGAGTAGGCTCCTACACTCACAAGCACACACCAGAGATGTGGACAACCAAGCTACCTGGACTTTAGCCAAGACATCAAGAACAATGTAAATTATTTAGCATGTGTCAGTTTTTTTTATTTTTTTTTTGCAGACTTAACAACTCGTCCGCACCATTTATAGAAGGAGTAGCGAAGTGGGTAAAAGTGAAAGCCGTCACTTACAGTAAGGGCATTTGCAGCGTGGTGTTCGCGTTCCCCTGCCAGTCTTTTCAGTAGCGCTTAATGTGCAGATACGCCTCAGGTTTTAGCTTTTCCTCCAACTTGTTTTTTTTCCCCACAAGCACTTCGAACCAAGAAGAGCAAGGGAAACGGTTTTAGGGTCTCGATCTTTGGAAAGGGGCGTTAGTACGTATTTTAGAGGAAAGCCGCCCCTTAACACATGCAGCTTTTGTGATCCAGAATGGGATAGACGAAAGCTCTTTTTATCACGCCGACCACGAACTAGTCCTATTGGGACCTCCTGACCAACTCAAATATGCGACATCGTGGTAAGGATCAATGACAAAAATACCTTCATCAATGCCTACTGCTATCTCAACCATGGATGGGCTGAATGGAAGCTGCATCAGATTCTAATATAAATTAACGGTATACTAGCAAAAAACTTATTTAATTTTTACCATATTGCAGGAGGGCTTACAAGAATGCGTGCTACTTTCCACTAATACTTTTACCATTGTTTATCCGTGGATAAAACTTAGCGAAATATGTCTGTCAACGAAAGCAATTTTGCATATATTTTAAGATGTGAACAAACTGTGAAGGCTAAGGGGCCGGTTCCTTAAGGGATTTAATAATTCAGCTTAAAGTAGGGGCATACGCCATAGGATAGACGAAAATGAAAGGCACACAGGGGTACAGTACCTAAAACAAGCAATGGGAGAACAGCATTCGCGCATTCCCCTCACTTTGGACGCCCCAAAGAAGCGATTTTTTAGCATCTGCAAGTCTATTCAGACCGTGATTCAATGAAAAGCACGTAGTAAGTCAGGAGTGATGACTGTCCAAAATGACTAGCAAACCTTCCTCCATGGCTTTATCCATTATATAATTAGCTTCATCGAATGAGAGGTCATCCAAGGTTACTGAGCAGTGAAAAACAAATAAGTAAACAAAGTTGTCACTCGAGAGTGGGGGTGAGCCCATCGATTGCGTTGATGCTGCCAATAAAATACTGAAGTAGAAAGTTTAATTTTTTACTGTTCACTCTTGGATGATTAAAATCAGTAGCGGCCCGTAGGTAATGACGGTCATATAAACAGGCCGGTAAATAAAAATGCAGTAAAGGAGGTTAAGAGTCTAAGGGCTACGGTCAGGCGTCAAGATTAGCTGATTACCTGAGAGTAAATTGATAGGCCCTGGGGCTTTAAGGTGCAAAGGAGCAGGTC